TAATTTATTTATTTATTTATTTATAATTTCACCCCTGAAGAACAGAGGAGAGGGAAAATAAAGGGTTTAGTCGATCCTCCCTTTCTGGCAGGTTTCTGAGGAAGTGCATCGTCACGTTTTCAGCATTGGCCAGAAGTCTACAAACTAATGTGCAGAAAGGGTTTACTGGTGAAGATTTGAACACAATTACTTCTCTCTTCCAATCTTAGGGTACAAAATGTCCATCAGGGTGCAGAATGCAAGGACTGATTGATGAAACGGACCGGGATTATGGTCACAGAATAGATAAAATCAAGAGGCTGCTTGCTGAAAACCAAAACAACTATAAAAAATCAAATCGGATAATTGTGGAAACCATAAACGTACTGAAACCAGATCTGGACAGTGCTCAGCGTGAGTATCTCACCCTCAGTTTTATTATCCACTGCTGAGTTATTACTTTTATTGTGCATAAGCAATATATGCTTTTTGTGCATAAGTAATACATAGTGAAAATATATGCTGCACTGGACCTTATTATCAAGAGCCAGAATAAACATTGTAATACAAGACTCTTAACTGCTAACTAGTAAAAACTAATGTGATTTTTACCTGCTCAGTACTATGAGAAAGATGTCCTTAATCACATGTTTTAATTGCATATTTTTTAACATGCTGCTGTTCTAGGAAAGAAAACCACACACGTGTAGGTGACTGATGCATTTCTGTTTCAGAGGTTGATGAGACTTATGGCCAGGTGACTGGAGAACTGAGGCGGAGAATCGTGACACTGAAGCAGAGAGTTGTCACTCAAGTAAACAGAATTAAAGCTCTGCAGAGCAGCATCCAGGAGCAGGTGGTGGAGATGAAGCGCTTGGAGGTAGGTACCCACGTAATTCCCATTCTTTCCAGAGCTTAGCTGCAGAAAGAGAGTCTATCAATTGTCCCATACATGGCAAACAGTGCTCCCTCTGGAAGAAATCATGGTGCGGGTCTCACAGGATCTGACCTGCTGAGGCAAATCCTCAAATTGGATTATTTCTGTGCAGCTGGGTTTTCTTTTCCTGCTGTGTGGCAACCAGCTCAGGAGGACTCCTGGTCCCATACACCCCTTCTGCTGTGAGACAGGCAGCAAGGATGTTATCACTGCTGATAATTGGCTTTGGTTGAAGCATTTCTCCACCTACAAGGAGCTGCTGAGCAGATAGGATGGGGGGAACCTGCCCTGTCCCAGGAAGACACCCCTGTGCCCCAAGAATAAAGGGAGCTGAGATTGGGAACCTCTTGCTTGAGAAAGTCAGGAAAGATCCCCAGTCAAATTATTTCTCTCTGTTTATTTAGGTGGACATTGATATTAAGATACGAGCTTGCAAAGGAACCTGTGCTAGAAGTTTTGATTACCATGTGGACAAGGAAAGCTATGACAACATCCAGAAGCAGCTTACCCAAGCCAACTCCATCGACCTGCACCCCGAGCTTCAAGCAACCACCCTGAGCACACTGAAGATGAGGCCGCTTAAGGACTCAAATGTTCCTGAACACTTTAAGCATAAGCCTCTGCCAGAAATGCAAGCTCTGAACATAATTAATAATATCAGGCAGGTCAAAGCGGTAATAGAAAGACCAGAAACAGACACAAACCCTTCCCGAGGTGACACCTTGTATCACATAGCAGAATCGAGGGGGGATGGACCTTCACACACCAGCAAGTTAATTACTCCTACTCATGGGAGAGAAACCCTGAGTCTGGGAGACAAAACCACCACCACTGTTCGTAGATGCACCAAAACTACCACCACAAAATTTGTCACTGGCCCTGATGGCCCTAGAGAAGAAGTAGTTGAAAAAATGGTTTCTTCTGATGGCTCAGACTGCTCTTATTTACAAGGAGCAGGAGGTATTGATCTAGCATCATTTTTAAGTCCTGACTTTCCGTCCACCGCCAATAGGCACCTTGGTGGATCTACCAGCATCTCAACCAGCAGCCGCGTAACAGGTGGTAGCCACTCAGGCACTGGAGCATCCAGTCATTCAGGGTCTTATGAGGGGAGAGGCAAATTCACAGATTTAGGAGAGGAAGAAGAAGATGATTTTGGAGGACTTGACCTTCATCCATCTGGATTCCCATCTGGCAGTGCAAGTCACTCCAAGACCGTAGTGACCAGCTCCTCCTCTAGTTTCAACAAGGGAGGCTCCACTTTTGAAACCAAATCCCTAAAGACCCGTGAAATATCTGAGCAGCTAGGTGGGGTGCAACACGATCAGAGTGCAGAGGATACCCCAGACTTTCAGGCACGCGGCTTCAAACCGACAGGAGCCAAGCAAAGGAGAGACAACACTGGGAAAGGTACACAGGCATCACAGAAGTAGTTATTGAGGTGTAGTGGAGCCAAACTCCATCCATAACCAAAGTGACACATTGGTTTTAGATACGGCAGTACAACAGTGTGATGATAAAATGCAAGCACTGTGTCTGTTTGTTGCCACCTTGGAAACAAAAAGGAAAATATTTCTTTAATAACTCGGGTATTACATAGACAAGTCACAGTTTAAGAATTATGTAAAGCTTCCTTTTCTGAATTCTTTTTAATGTTGCCTGTCACTAAACCTAGCATAGTCCAAGACATGTTTAACAGTGTTCCTCAGAGCTATTGGTACTTGGATTCCTCTGAACCTTTTATTAAATTTTGCTGATAACTCCTGTCAAACCAGATCAACTTTTTTTTTTAGACTGCGATGATATCCGCCAGAAACACACTTCTGGTGCCAAAAGTGGCATTTTCAAAATCAAGCCAGCGGGATCCCGTAAGGTTTTGTCAGTTTATTGCGACCAAGAGACCACTTTGGGAGGATGGCTATTGATCCAACAGAGAATGGATGGATCAGTGAATTTTAACCGGACCTGGCAAGACTACAAGAGAGGTTTCGGCAGCGTGGATGGCAGAGGGCAAGGAGAGTTCTGGCTGGGTAATGAAAACATACATTTGCTGACTCAGAATGAGACGCTCCTGCGGGTAGAGTTAGAGGACTGGGATGGAAATGCTGTGTATGCAGAGTATATCGTTCAGGTAGGGTCTGAAGCTGAAGGGTACCCCCTCGCCCTGTCTTCCTATGAGGGGACCGCCGGGGACGCGCTGATTGCCGGCTGGCTGGAGGAGGGCACCGAATACACATCCCACGCCCAAATGCGGGTCAGCACCTTCGACCGGGACCAGGACCGCTGGGAGGAGAGCTGTGCGGAGATGTACGGGGGCGGCTGGTGGTACAACAGCTGCCAGGCAGCCAACCTCAATGGCATTTACTACCTGGGGGGCCACTACGACCCCAGGTACAACGTCCCTTACGAGATAGAAAACGGCGTGGTCTGGCTGCCATTTAGAGCCTCTGACTACTCCCTCAAAACTGTGAGAATGAAAATCAGGCCCATAGAAACCCTGTAGAAAGACAGGCTTTTAATGTCTATGTTACCACTACGCGTTGAAAAGATTTTTTTTTTATACATTTGTGCATGATGTACTTTTACCCTGTGAATTTGAAGGCAACTGGACACATCTGTGGCTGAAAAAATAAACACTGTATAATTATTAACAAAACAGTTCATTCCTCTTATTTATAACTGACAAACCTTTCCAAGGAAGTACTGATTTTTAAAACCCTTTTAATATAAAATTTGTCTGTGTCTTTAACTGTGTCTGTATGTATGACCTTGGCAGCTCACAACTCGCCTGGAGATAAAAATATTTATAATCCAAATTATTTACTTCATTTAAGAGTGTTAAAAAAGTAAGACAATTTAGAAGTACGTTCACCACCAAGCCCGCTAACACAAACCATGAAAGTCTGATCGAGTTTGGCCGTCACACTCCTTTCCGCTGGCCATCTCCTTTCATTGCTGTTTCAAAGGGAGCACAACAGTGACAGGAGCTGGTTCTCAGGCAGAGCGCCAGGTGGTTTGGGGTCCTGCTTTTGCCACACATCTAACATGAAGTATACTTTGCTAAATGATGCGTTTTAGGACTGACTTTTAAGGATTTGGTTTTACAAACATGGAGTTAGACCCTCTGTCCCATTGGTGAATTCTAAGTAGTTTACCATGCATGCTGTAGCTTCAAAATAAGACGGTTCATAGTAACTCATCAAAATACAACTCCCAGAACAGGCTATTATTTTATAGAGACCACTAAAAGGTTATGACCAAAACCAGAACAAGCAAGATGAGGAGCACCTGGATGGGTACAGTATATATTTCTTTGATTTATAATGTTTCTCGGCATATGTGTCAAGCAAGGATTCTTCTACAGATTTTGGGTTTAAATCAGCAACTTGCTGACAGTGCATGGTAAGGGTTTTGTAGCAAAAAGCTGGCTGCATGTAAAAACAGTTATATCGATTACACAATTGCACAAGAACATACTGTATTTACCTTTATACCTTATGACATAAAATTACACAATAATTTACTCTGTTTAATATTTCTGCACTTCTGTTGAGAAAGAAGCATGAGCAAACTACCTTGCCTCCAGTCTCACTGGCCAGCATATTTCATACCATCCAACGTCATCAAATGTTGGCAAAGCAGCTCATTTTAGCATTTGTTTTCAGTGTTTCTGAAACACAGTCACGGTCTAACGTTTTTGGAGAGTTTGCTGAAGATCAAAGACATCTTTACAGGCACATGCAGAGAAGTGTCTGTGCTTTTGGAAAAGGCGTTTCTGCTTTACACCTCGTGCTTTCGTTCCCTAGCCTCAGTGCAAACCTACCTGTGGGGATGCCGAACATTGGTGCTCATGTAGTAAGATGCTGTCATGACATCTCCTCCTTGTCCTCTTGGGCTGCATGGGTTAAAGCGACATGAGAGGTTTTGGATGAGAATCCATCCACCGGTTGTGATCTGGGTCCCCTCCCCTGTGGAGGAAGGCAGACCGCTCCCAGAGATGGTAGATCCTGCCTGCAACAGTTGGGAAGTCTTGTCTTTGAGCCAACCTCTAACCCTGGCTACAGAGGTAGCACAAACTGCTATCTTCAATGAAATACCCAACCTCCACCTACCCTATGATTGGGGTCACTAATTGCTCTACTCCCACGATAGTGATTGTGTGAAAGACACACCAGCCACATCTTCTCGAATACTGTATTTTATTCTATGGTGAAAAGATGTTCCTGTAGGGGTTCTACAGGAAAGCTGGGGAGGGACTTTTTACATTGTGCTGCTCAGCTGCATGTTTCACCTCTACTGCCCATTTCCCACCCGAGCTCCGCAGTCTGGGGCTGCTGCAGCCAACAGTGCCTTCGGGAAGCAGCCTCACCTTTCTGGCTCTGGCTTGCAGAAGGCGCAGGGTGAGGTCGCCACTGGGGCCATCCCCCCCCGCTGGGGGTCAGGGGGAACTGAGCTCCTTCCTCAGGTCAGGCCCAGCGACGCTGCTGCTGGCGTGGTGGGCACTGCTCTGGACCCCGGGCAAGTGCAGTCCTGCTGCTGGCAGCATGGCACAGCACAGCTCCCCCTGACGCTGCTGCTCAGCATCTCGCCTCACACCTTGACCCATGCCCAGCATCCTCCTTGCCCCAAAACTCCTGTCCCCTGCAGCAGCATCCTGATACTGCATGCTACCTGAGTGCTGCTGGCTTTCCTCTTACACTTCTCTGCATCTTCAGCAAGTGAAAACAAGAAGAGAAAACTGGAGCTTAGGGGACAGAAGACTTCAAAGACAGAACAGCTGAGATTGTGCAGGAAGGACCTGGAAACAAGTCGATAAGGTGGACTTGTAGAAGCAAGCTCAGAAATAAAGAGGAGGATGAATGGACACAACTGCTGCACTGTCATTCTGCCTCTTGCCAGCTTTGATTTGCTGTCTTTTTTCTGCCTGTGACTGCAGGATGCACAAACCACCTGAGCAGAATGCACTCACACAGGCTTATACCTCTGTGTCTTTAGACAGCTTCTATGAGGGACAAATCTTCCAAGCATGGAATTTAGCAAAGAAGAAAAGCCTCAGATAAAAAGTCAATTTTAGTCTTTTATCTAGACTGCAGGACCAGGAGAAAAATTTGGTAGTGTCTGTACGGGTCAAATAAAAGAAAACCAAAACCAACAAACAACTACAACTACAATAGATTGAAAAAACAGTACAACCTGTAACCTTAACAGGTGTTCCTGACAGACTGAAGTCAGTCTTCCTACAAGCTATGCTGAGGCACATGGAGGACATGGAGACGATTGGAGACGTCCAGCATGGCTTTACTAAGGGCGAATCCTGCCTGACCAACCCAATGGCTTTCTGCAACGGGGTAACTACAGCAGTAGACAAGGGAAGAGCTATGGACGTCAGCTACCTGGTGTGACAGTTTGCGCGACAGTTCGAGCAGGAAGGGCACTGAGGCCCAGCCAGATCAGCCGGTCAGCAATGGTTACCACCAGGCGGGGAGCCATGGCCTCCCACAGCCATGCACCCACCAAGGCAGACGCAGTTTGCCAGACGGAGCAATGGTGGGAGCACGCTGCCATGCAGGTGTCGAGCTGCAGGGTGTGCGCTGCTCTTACGCCAATGTCTGATGGCAACAGTGAGCAGGCCTGTGGAGGTGTGCCCAAGTAGAGGAGCTCCTCCGCATAGTGGTGGAGTTCAGGGAGGAGGTAAGTAGGCTGAGAACAATCAGTGAGTGTGAGGAGGAGATAGACCATTGGAGCCATATCCTGCCTTCACTGAGACAGGTCCAATGGGTAGAAGAAGGCGGCCGAAGGGTCGCCTTAGCCTCTCTACACCAGGCTGACCATAGCAAATGGGAGGACTTAGAGGATAGGGACCAACAAGAATGGAAACGAGTCTCTTCCCGGTGCAAGAGGCTTGGCAGGGGTGCCCTCCCCCCAGTAACTGCTCCACCGTCCCAGGTGCCCTTGCAAAACAGGTATGATGTTCTGCAAGGGGAACCGAGCAAGAAGACAATTCGCCTAGCTCGGAGGCACCGCCAAGGCTCAATCAGAGGAAGACATGCATGAAAACATCTTCAAGTAAGAAAGACAGATGGGTCCTTGTCATAGAGGACTCCCTTCTGAAAGGGAGTGGAAGGTCCTATTTGTAGACGAGACCCACTCCTCAGGGAAGTCTGTTGCCTCCCAGGAGCCAGGGTTAAGAACATTCAGAAAAAACTCCCTATTCTAGTTAAATCCTCTGACTACTACCTGTTGGTGGTCCTTCAGGTGGGCAGTGAAGAAATTACAAGTAGTTTGAGAGCAATGAAGAGGGATTTCAAGGGCTTGGGACAACTGGTTAAGGGATCTGGAGCACAAGTAGTGTTCTCCTCTATCCCACCAGTTGCAGGGAGATCTGAGGTGATAAACAGAAAGGGCCAACAGATCAATGCCTGGCTCAGCAGCTGTTGCCACAGGCAGGACTTTGGGTTTTTTAATCATGGATCAGTTTACACTTCACCAGCTTTGCTGACAAAAAATGGGGCATATCTATCTCAAAAGGGGAAGAGGTTCCTGGGACAAGAGTTAGCAGGGCTCATAGACAGGGCTTTAAACTAGATTTGAAGTGGGGAAGGGGGAAAGGGAATAAAACACAACACACTAGCAATGAGCCTGTGGGTGAAGCACCGACATGTGTGGGATGGTGCGCTAGTGAGACTCTTCAGAGTACCGTCCCAGTGGAGGTAGGGGATGAAGTTCCATGCAGCAACCAAGGTGCAAGGGTCACTGATGGGTTAGTAACCATGGAAGTCCCTGAAAATGGCTGGGCAGAAATTAGGACTTCTCCCTGTGAAAAGGTAGCAGGGCCTTTAGCCCGACTGAAGTGTGTCTACATCAATGCACGCAGCATGGGCAATAAGCAGGAGGAACTAGAAGCTATTGTGCGTTGGAATAACTACGACGTAGTAGCTATCACAGAAACATGGTGGAATGAATCACGCAACT